ATCCTGTAAAACTGACATTTTGATGACATAATTGCTATATGAAATAAGGATTGATTATATTTTTAAAAGCATTTGCCTGTGCCTATACATATCCAGCTTGTTTAAAAATAATGTATTTATTACATGTTCCACATAAGTATGGTGCTTTTAATTGTTATAGAATGATTATCCTTGCATTTGATATGGCACATTTCACATCCGAAGGACATCTCAAATCACAGGATTTACAAAGTGTACTGACTGTGTATTTTTTAGGTGAACACGGCAGCCAAGAAACAACAACAATTTGCATTTATATAGTGCCCTTCACTTGGAGCGATTAATAGAGGCGGAGCTTGATGCCGAGCCAACATTAGTTGGAATAATGCATGAAATGAACGATTAATTTTATTTGGGGAATTATTGGGGAGAAACTCTTGGGTCTTTTAAACAGTGGCATGGAATCTTTGACGTCCATCTGAACAACCAGGCGAGAACTGGGTTTAACATCTCATCTGAAGGATGGCACCTCTAAAAATGCAGTGCTCCCCGAGCACTGCACTCAAGTGAGCCTAGATTGAGCTCAAAGTTTGTGGGCTTGAACCCACAAACTTCTGAATCAGAGACAAGAGTGCTACCAACTGAGCCAGGGTGATATCTAGAACACCCACTGTGTGATCAAGCAATGCAAAGGATGCTTTGGAACTGAATTTCTTAAAACACATATTCAAATTCTGTGGATACAATGGGCAGATGTTGGAAGGCATCAGCATCAAATCTACACTTTACACTCAGGCCTCCACTTGGATTTCCAACAGTAAATCTGTAAAAGACTGAAAAGCACTCTCATCATTCTCTACTAACTGCCTTCCATGCCAAGCTCCATGCTTCTTGATGGACAGTCTTGCTGACCTATGAAGTCAACAGAGTAAATCTCTTCTTGAAGGTCATTCTGCTGGTGGCAGTGGAGCTGGCTTTCCCTGAATTATTCTGCAGAAATCCAGTTAGATAAATGCAGTTAGCTAACAAAAACATAGCCTATGGGATCCCCAAAATATTAATGCATTCATGCCCTGAGCATCTCCCTTTAAGGTGAGGAAGGTCTTTTTTTTAAAGAAAGACAATATAGATGGGATGTGGAAGGACCTTCTGGGTATGGTGGTCAATGCAGAATCCATATTAGCTTTCAAGAGGAAATTAGATAGATATCTAAGGAGGAAAAATCTGCAGCGGTATGGAGAAAGGGCAGGTAATGGGACTAAATAGATTGTTGATCCAGCACTGACACAATAAGTACAGTGGTTCTACAACATCAACACATTGTGCTTTACATTGTTCTAAAAATGGTACAATATAGGAAGGACAGGTCAACAATCCATTTAGCAATATTTAACAATACATTTAGCAGCAACATACTGTACACACTTTAGGCAATTATCATTAAAGACCATGTGCAAAGCAAGCACGTCTGCAACAACAAACAGCTGAATGAAGCACTACAAATGATGTTGTAGGATTGGATTTTTCTCATCATTCAAGCACATTCAATTTTAAAAACAATTTACCTACGATTACTTTATCTGGTGACAACCTAACGAGCTCAGTTGATAGTTCTCACTTCACCCACGTAGACTGCTATATTAATCTACACTACAGGTAACGTGTCTTCTCTCTTTCTTTAATCTCTTTTCCTCTTCATATCCCTATGATTCGCCATGCCCATTCCTATCTTGGTTTCACTTCTGACTCACAGTACAATTTCAGAAGCATCAATCACAATGACAGAATCTCAGTCAATGTTATGGGATGTTATTTCTAATGTCTGAACACATTATACCTCAAATCAACTTTTTCTTCTTTCATTTTATTATACAGACTGTATGCAAATAATAAAAAAAACATTTTGGAATGTCATTTTTACCTTTCTACAAACTACTTTAAACTAAGGGAGTTAAACATATTTGTGGGATCCATAGTTTTTTTTAATGCTTTTTATTAAAGAAATTGTGGTGACTCACTTTCTCTTCACTATACCAAACACCAGTAACAGAACAGGGATTCTGCCCAAGCAACAAGAAGCTTTCAAGACAGTGCTCTCAATGGCGAGCTATGAGGTTGTAGCTGGTTAAACTCCAGCAGTACCCCCAACCCCACTCTGGGGTCCTCAAGCCTTGGCTCTTGCTAAACTGAAACTAATAATCCAGATTTAGATGAACACAGTGTGTCCCTCCAGGGAGGGAGTGCACAATCCACTCCAGACATAGGGACATTTTCATATGTAGAATAGCATACATTTGTGAAACTCTCAATCTGGTTTAGATACTCAAAAGAATGGTGATGGATCTCTGCATGTCAAACATCCAACGTACCAACAAAAAGCATCCAGTTCCACTAACCAGCATTTGTTAATTCTTCATGTTTTCTTTAAAGTTGAAAAATAATCACTTGCATTGCCCACAGTTGTACAACAACTGGTGTGAAGCCAAAATGATGTGAGATTACCCTGAGGAGATTTTGTACCACTTCTTAATCCAAGTTAAACCTAAATAAAACAGACCTCACAAAATGTCCTTTCAATTCTCTTTGGAAAGATTGCTGAACAGTTATTATGGAATGTTATAGGATCACTGAATGTTTACGGCACAGAAGGAACATGGTCTGTACTGGCATTAGCTCTCCCACCGCAACTATGGTAACGGAAAGCCTTCTCTGTCTCCGTACCAGTCAATAATATTTCTCCTCATGTAATTATCCAATTCCCTTTTAACTGCCTACATGACTCAGCTTCAATGGCTATTTGTGCTAAGCTGGTTCACATTCTAACAACCTTCCACGTAAAAAATATTCTTCTAACCTCCTCCTTTTTTNCCTTCTGGAAATAATCTTCAATTTATGCTCTCTTGTTGCAAACTAGGGAATCGGTGGAAACAATCTTTCTCTGTTGAGCCTGTTACTCTCCTCTTCGATTGTGCCTTTGGTCACCCTCCTACCCCTACCCATCCTGCCCTCCACCCCTCCTGATCCCAACACCGAGCTCGGGTACAAATCCCTGACTGTCCAGCGGCTTGGGACGTCCTCCCGACGTGAAACGTGCAATACAAATGTAATTTTTGTTATTAAAGCCATTCATAATTTTGAAAAAAATCAGATCCCCTTAATCTTCTGTACTCCATTGAAAATAATCCAGCCTTTTAAGTTCCTCCACATATCTACAACCTTTTACCTTTGATATTCAGTGAATCTCCACTTTAATGACACCCCATAATAAACAATATTTTATTAGGTTTTGTATTACTTCGACCTCAGCTCATACGCCATTGAAGTATTTCTTCTGTGGCATTGCTCATTCCTGTAACAATACTAATAACAAACGAAACCTCTCTCTTCTCATGGAATGCATGCAAGCCATTTCATTAAATTCAAAAGGATGAAGGTTGATGCTTTTAAATAGAGCAAATACAGAATCTGTCATCATCATCACAGAAGCCACTATCTGGCGAATGGATCCAAACCAATTTTGTGCTTGTGGATACTTCCGCTTCTCCCTTTTCAAAACATGTAGCCACCAACACATTGAAATGTCTCAAAAGTGCTTCAGGAATAATTGTTGTCAAATGTAATGACTGTTTTGTCAATCCTGCAAACATCCAATCAAGCATACTTCTGTGGATTGCCTAATCGGAGAAGGGGGAAATCTAAAATGAAATTAAAGATATTTCAACAGTGGAAGACAATTTCTCCTACCCATTTCACAACAACTTCTCCCGAAATAAATCCAGTCTACTGCTACCAATAAGTGTTTTTTTTTAATCTGGTATCCTAGTGAAAATCTTGCAAAACTCCCAAAATTTGTTTAAAGCAGTCAAATGGAGAGGACGTTAACCACTGCATTGCCAGATAGAGGTACAAGGTTTAAAAACTAGGGAGGCATTCACCTATATTCTGAATAGGGTATTCAAAATAATATCAGAATCTTATACTAACCACTGGCAAAGTAAACGCTCACTGATTAATTTGGAATCTTGGTGATAAGCAAACTCAAGTGTTAGACAGTTTTAGGACAGTTGCGACTCAACTAGAAAAACAAATACCAGCATTCCAACTTTCCAGGCGATTTTGTGGGGGAAACGACTGAGGAAATCTTGCTAACTTCACTCTGTCATGATGCTGTCATCTTATATTTACATTTAATATCCAAATTGAGCCCTGCAGTAGATGAGTTTTAGAAAGGAATTTTCAGGCAGCAGCACAGAGAAGCTAAAACTAACAGAGCCAGTTTTAACATACAAATAAGGTTGTTTCACAGCATTTTCCTGACAAAAGTACGAACCATCAATGTTGGCAGAAAGTCTGCATACCAAAATCAGGCCATATTAATGTCACTCCATTGTTGCTCCTGAATAGAAAAAGCTAAACTATAATCAAACAGCAGCTAGCTATGCATTGACATTCTGCACACTAAGCAGGCTCGTAACATTCAAACGATACAGCGCTACATCAGGCTTTACAGAAAGAACCTACCAGCACTAAATAAAATGCGAGTGATTCAGAAAACAACCCATTGATGGAAACTGCATGGAAACATTTTCATTCTAACATTCTTAACCCTTAAGGCTAAAAAAAATTATGCTGACACGAATATTTATTTACCTTTTACAGTTAAAATCTGCAAAATCTCAAAAAGCTTTGAAAGTACGTGTGATAAAACATTAATTGGAGTACTCTGAAAATACTGCTCGTGCTTTCTTCAGTTCCAGGATGGTGAACATTCAATTTTTTATAAATAAAATTATGGTATGCATGGTGTCTATAGAACTATACATTATTCCATCTGATTTGAACCAAAAGATATATTTTGACATTTTTTGATTAAAAGGTAATTATAGATTTTGCATTTTGGGATAATTTCACACCATTTTACACAATTCTTTAACATTTATGCAAAATAGTATTCTTAAAAACAACGTATATGTACGGATCTATATATAAATACATATAGACCTTGAAGCATTTATACTTACAGCTACTACTCCAAGACTTCAGCAGAGACTTGATGCTAATTTCAAAAAACATGGAATCCTGTAGGCTTAACATTATGCCTTTTGTTGAGCAGAATAATGAATTTCAGAATTATAACAGTTTTGTCCCAGCTCTGCCAGTCGTTCGTCTGAATTACTGTCCCCTCACTCCTCTCAAAGGCAACACAATTCAAGCCTCAAGTGTCCCTTCGTCATTATTATGCAGTCTTTTCTGTGTGACGCACGCTTTGAGCTCTAGTGCTGGCTGAATACAGATGAACTCAGAAGCAGCCTGGAAAAACTTACTCGACATGGAAGGTGCCCTGCAGGGAAATTTCACCTTTCATAGAGCACAGCCACATAGCCTCACAGACGGTATCATACAAACCAGTGCACAATGGTTAAGTTAGGCTGAGCAACTATTATCAGCTGCTTCCTAAGATGTTGATACACACAATATAGAAGGGTGGAGCTCCAAACTGTTTTAAGCAACTTCTTAGCTCTAGCTGCCTACGAAATACAACTGCACTGAGAAAATCCACCAGTGCACCACTCTTCTCAATTGCCTCACACAACTGGCAGTTTTTCATAGAGTCACAATTGAAGTGCATCCTTTTGCACTCTCATCTGCTGAAACGCCCGGCTCCAGCTCCTCTTCACAGGAGTGCATTGCTTCCTGAAGCTCTGCCACCCAGTCAATAATCAGCAAGCGCTCAGCATGCTTGTGATGACGCAGGGTACAGCGTCCCACTTAATCTACTAAAGATAATGTTGGCAGGCTGCTTTCGGGAGGAGGGGGGAGGGTGAAGGGAATAGGGTGATGCAATTAATACTGTGCCATTTAGCCTATCGTGTTTCAGCTTTCCTAATTTGCTTAGCTCACTGCAAAAATGTTCTTTCCTCTGGCTGGCTGCTGAAACTAAAATGAGATCTTGTTTCCCAATTGCAGAACCAGAGTAAAAACACTTTTAAGGTGTTTCCTTAAAGCAGCAGCACAGGAAGCTCTTTTTAACCATACAATGTGCAAGAATGTTTTTAAAGTACATGATATGGAAGAAAAACATTTTGTTAAGAATTGTATTTTAAGCAAACATTTGTGATCATCTTTGATATGATCAGAGCAAATATTTAGCTATTTTTGATGATTAATAATTTTCTTCACCGCAGTAGTTTATGCAGGGTGGCTTAAAGGGGAAACAAAGCCAAAAAGATGGATTTCTTTACAATATATTTTGTAAAGCGCTTTGAGATGTCTCGAAGACATGAAAAGGCACTGTATCAAATGCAAGGATTATTATTATTATTGTAACCCGTTTAGAAATGGAAATAACACAAAATAGTTCTTTAAACAAAGGGAAAACTCGCCAGAAATTTCTTTATGAGGCAGCTCCTGACTAAAATGCTTCAGTGGTGCACATCACTGGGGCACTTGACACAGTTGTATTCTCAAGTAGACAGCAATTGAAAGTTTCCAGGTTGGGCTGCTCCACTTCGATCAGATCTTAGGTCAGTCTAAAAGCTCCCACCCTTTCTTTTTTTTCTTTACTAGTTTTAGTAAACTAAATATATCAAGATTTCAACCTTAAACACAAACTGTCTTATGGTAAACTGTATTTATTTTAGTGATTAAATGTCAGAGTATTATGGACCAGGTGGCGGACGTGGGAACAACTTTAGCAAGAAGAGGGAACATCTTTAAATAAATAATTATTTAGCATAAAGAGGGAACATCTTTAAATAATTATTTTACAAATGTTCCCCTTTCTCCAGAGGCAAGTTGTTGTAAGAAGAACACAAATTTCAGACAGAACCCAAGAATTTCTCAGATTGTGAAACCAGTGAACTTGAACATCCTAAGGCTTTAAACTGAACTGGTTAAAAATACAAATTTAGCAGCAATTACACTCAGTCATGGGACAGGGAGGGTAGGAAACTTTTAATCACGAAAATAAATAGTTTAGCAAAAGATAGTTTGTGTTTAATGTTGAAATCTTGATATATTTAGTTTACTAAAAATATTTTCTGCATCATCTGTGTGCCACAGGAATGTGGAAGAGGATATCTGTCGAGTTCAGTTGATAGTACTCTCTCCCCTGTTCAGGTGGATGTTAAAGATCCCATGGCACTATTCGAAAAGAGAAGGGAATTTCTACCAGTATTTTGGCCAACAATCCCCCCAAAATATAACCCTTTATGAGTGATTGTGGGGCAATCCTACATGCAAATTGGCTACCGTGTTCGCCCCCAAAAAACAGTAAAACTCTCACAAGTCATATCAGCCGGGACCATAACATTAAATATGACTTACCCCAAGTAGCAATTACAGGCAAACTTGCATAAGTCACATCATATACAACTTAATCAATAATCTAAACTGCGCATGCGTACTTCTCTGCAGTTAGTGAGTGAGCGTACGGTGATGGGCTAAGACTTTGTTTCCTGCGCTTGTTTCAAGCGGAACACGACACATGCGTATTTCAATGCAATAACAGTGTTACAATTTGGGGGTGACATGCCTAGGATTTAGGATGTACTTGGGATCAGGAAAACATTACGATTTAACCATTTACCCAATTTATAAATCGACTAGTGCAAATAATTCCAAGGGTTTATTGATAGAAAACTGAATGAGACTTGGGTGCATGCACGATTTACGCAATTATACGATCCATACAGAGAAGACTTGTGCTTGTTTTACTGTACAGTCATTGCACTTGTATCCTATGAACTGCTTTGAGAGGTCCTCTGGACATGAAAAGCTCTATATCAAATGCAAGGATTATTTTTATTATTTTGCTGTAATTAATTTAGGGGAATATATAAATTTGGATTTCACTCCTGATCACAATTGCAAAATAGCTTACACAAGAACATTGGGTGAGGATTCGATCAGTTTTACCCCAAAACTGAATGTTCTGCTGATGCTCTCCATCAAGTCTCACTCATGAAGAATGGCTACTTGATCAGAGTAGCAGAGTTTCCAGTACCTGCACGGCCATACTACAGCACGAGTCATTGCCTTCAAAGAGGAAAATCTCAGCGTAAGACTTGAACCAATGCTCTTCACATAAGGTTACGTTTACGTTTTTCAGAATTAGACACCAAGCAAGAGATGGGGGAAGTGGGGAGGGCCATAGGCATGTTCGAAGAGGGAGGATTTGAAGCACGACAGACAAAAAGAGGAGAAAGAATGGCATAGGGAGGGAGTTCCAGAGGTTAGGGGCACAGGAACCAAAAGCTTGGTCCCTGTTAGTGCAGAGACGTGGAGTGTGTTATGTAGCTGAGTGGGACGGCCAAGTGGAGGGGCAGAGTTGGAGAAGGTCAGAAGTGGCAGAGAGTGGACAGATTTGTTAATGAGGATGTATAATCGATCCAATGGGAGACAGGTGGATAATGGAGACTGGTAAGGGTTTGGATGATTTGATGCAGGTAGCAGAGCTTTGAATGAGTGGCAGCTTGTGGATGGTGGAGCTAGGAAGACAAGCAAGCAGTGCGTTTGTAAAAGTCTAAGTGGGATGTGATGAGTGTTTTAGCCATACACGGTGTGAGACAGGTGTGGAGGCAGGCTACGTGTCAGATGTGAAGGAAGAGAGTCTTAGTGCGGGACCGGATGTGAGTGTCAAAGTAAAACTGAAGATCAAACCAGACCCAAAATTTGTGTACCAGCTCAAAGAACTCAAGAGGCCAGAGGGGCTGAAAAGGTAAGAGTCAACTGAAGAGAGGACAGTTGGGTGGAGCTGAGGAGGATGGCTTCCATTTTATCCAATATTAAAGTTATACACTTTTCTACATCAGTAACCGTTTAATTCTGAAACTAGATCTTTAAAACACATATGAAATGACATGAAATAAAATACCCTAAGCAACTCATTCAAAACTCTGCTACCTACACCAAATCATCAATGTGGAAAAATACATTAATATTTGTGCTGACATTAGATGAAATTACTGGTAATGGATTTGAAATTAATGAATAAATTGAAAAATGGCAAAATGTTAAGCTATAATTAAAATAAGTACATTGTTTGAATCAGCAAAGTGTTCCACCTAGTGACTCACCTAAGAAATGATGACAAGGATTTTTTTTAGATTATTTCAGAATTGGCAAACTTTACAGAATTTTTACTTAAAAATAGCAAAAGCACACAAGTAACGGATTCATAATCAAAAGTATTAACACTCAGTACACTTGTGATGTTGTATTTTAATGCAATTAAACTCGTCAACACAAAATGAATTTGGGCAAACCAAATCAAGCAAATTAAGAGCAGATTTCTATTGCAATTTGGGAGGATACACACAAGCTTTTAGGATAGATGAATTTCAGAGCTCAACATCAACTCTTACTTATATAGCGCCCTGCATGCATGTTAGCGTCTCAGAATGCTTAAAAGTGGCGGAGCCTGAATCTGAGCTGAGGGAGAGGTGACCGTAAGCACAGTCGAAAAGAAAGATTTTCAGGCAGGACTTGAAAAAGGGGAGAGAGGGGGCGAGGCGGATTGATTGAGGGAGAGTGTTTCAGAGTTGAGGCGTAATGACTGAATGCACGACCTCCAGTGGTGGAGTGGAGAGTGCGAGGGACAAGCAGAAGGCCGGTGCCAGTTGAGTGGAGGCGCCAGGTGGTGGATTGGGGAGTGAGGAGGTCAGAGTGTTAGGGAGGTGCCAGAGAATGAAGGGATTTGAACACGAGTGTGAGGATCTTGAAGTCGATCTGTTCGGTGATGGGGAGCCAGTGGAGCCTGGTCAGAACTGGTGAGATGTGGGTACGGAGTTTGGTCCAGGTCAGTAATGCAGGCGGCAGAGTTCTGAATGAGCTGGATTTTTTGAATAGTGGAGCTGGGGAGACCGGCGAGGAGTGCGTTTGAATAATCCAGGCGGGAAGTGTCAAACGCATGCACAAGAGTTTCAGCTACATTTGGGGTAAGGTACAGTCGGAGGCAGGCAATGTGGCAGAGGAAGGTGGTCTGGTTAGGGACCGGATGTGGGTAAGGAAGGACAACTGTGGGTCGAACTGGATGCCTAGATTGCACACTGGTTCAGTGAGTCTGAGGGAAATGCTGGGGAGATTTAGGAGGTCAGATCCGCAGGAATGAAGGCACTGAAGGGAGCTAAGGAGTATGGCTTCCTTCTTGTCCACATTCAGCTGCAGGAAGTTTACACTCATCCAGGCCCTGATGTCTGCCAGACAAGCTGATAGAACATCAGCAGATATGAAGTTGCAGCTGGAGGAGGCAAAGTAGATCTGTGTGTCAACAGTGTCTGTGGGTGACATCGCCAAGCGGGAACATGTAGAAGAGGAAGAGAAGAGGGCCAAGGATGGAGCCCTGGGGTATCCCACAGGTGACCGGATGGGCACGGGAGGAGAAACCATTTGCCAAGAGGAAGTGGAAGCGTTTGGTTAAGTAGGACTCCAACCATTCGGGTGCAGTCCCACTAAGGTGGATGAGGAATGCGAGGCGGTGGAGGAGGATGGCATGACTGTGTCGAACGTGGCAAAGAGATCCAGGAGGTCGAGGATCCCTGGTCACAGATAGAGAAGACATCATTTGTTACTTTGACGAGCACTCTCTCTGTGCTGTGGGCAGGAAGAAAACCAGAATACAGGGCCTCGAGGAAGGAGTGGAGGGAGAGGTGTGACCGAATTTGACCTGCAACAATGTGTTCCAGGACTTTGGCAAGGAAGGCAGGT